GATTTGAAAATTATATTAAAAACAAAAAACAGCTACATTATAAAGTGGTGTAAAATACTAAAAACCGGAACATGTCTGTTGGTTTATGCCAGGTGTTTGAAGCCATTTAATATTTTATTTATTAATTTATTCATTCATTTAAAAGAACCAAAATAATAATAAAAAAATCATCAAAAAGAAAACATTGAATAAAGAAGAAAAAAATTCTTATATCTGCCCCTTTTAAAAAAATAATAACTTTAAACATTCACTTAAATTAATCACTTTAATATCAACTTTAAAGCTAGGAATAAAAAGAAACATGTTTTGTGTTAGCAGAATTTAATTCTAACTTTAAAATTTTTCCAACATTAATAAAACTTACCTCAAGTTGCCTTTTTGGACATGCATGCATATATTTGTACAAATTGTACTTGAGAGGAGATTATTACAGCCTCATATAAAATCAATGATGATGATGATGATATCGGAACTGGATCGGTATCGGCCGATATTCAGATCTAGGTATCGGGATCGGATCAGAAGTTAAAAAAAGTGGATCGGTGCATCCCTAAAAATAATGGATGAATGGATATACAGTAGTCCTTCATTTATCGCGGGGGTTACCTTAAGGACCCCCTGCAATAAGTGAAAAACCGTGAAGTAGAAGTTACATAGATTTCTGAGTTGAAACAGCCAAAACAGTTCAGTGAACTAATAAATTTAAATCAACTGAACTAAAGCAAGAGTTTATTAATGAAGATAACTTGGTGTTTAATGCCCTTTTACTCACCAGCTTTGCAGAACACAGCAGCTCGGTTCCAGTTCGGCAGACGTACCCAGCCTTGGTCCGATTGGCTCTCTGCATCCCCTGAGCCACTAAGTCACTATGAATACTGTAAGGACTGAACTTTTTGGGATCAGATCAAAACTTTCCGTCCATTTCAGCAGAAAGCAACTTTGCCTTCTGGGTAGTGCACTGTTGGCCTCTGGGTAATGTAGTCCTTTAGGCTGGCGATACAGTGTAGGCTTATTGAGAGAAAACAACAATGGCAGCACTTTTTTTGTCATGTACAATCTTACAGTACCATACTTTGAAAAACGCGAAAGAGCGAATCTGCAAAAGTTGAACCACGAAGTATCGAGGGACTAATGTACTTTGTTGTGTTGGAGGCTACCTGACCATGTACTCTTACTGGTATTGAGAGTGACCAGATGTCTAGAATGCATAAGGTGATTTTTGCTTTCCTTTTCGAGCAGTCAGAACATTGCAGCCAATCTGCTGCATTTCAGTGTTGACAGCATAAAACAAATGTTTTGATGTTATGATTGATCTTAATTTCAAATGTTGCAACCCACTTCTGGCAAACTTTTAAAATTCAATTATAAATTATGGTAATTCAAATCACATTTGCTCACCGACCTTGAAACATACCTATCACTCATTTTTGAAGCTTTTTTTTTTTTCCATTAGTCTTCTGAGAGTTATTTGACCGGTCAAAGCAGTCATTAGCAAAATCTGAAAAACTTTGTTTCCCAAACATCAGGCTCATTAAGACTAAAAAGTAAAGAAAATTGAAGAAAATTACAGATAGTGGTGATGTTATTTAAAAAAATAAAGACCAAGTATTCTTGAAACTAATCCCTTTCACCTACTGCCTATACCAGTGTTTTAAAATAAAATCATCTTGTGCTGAGAAGTTATAGTTATAGCTGTTTTGATCAAACCTTTATGCGTGATATTATGAGATGTTGCAAGCTCATGCAAGATGTGATAATATTTGGAGCATGGGTTAAACTCAATCCTTGTTGCATTTTAGCTAAATAACTGTAAAACAGACCAAGTTCAAGCTATTTGTTATGTTTGCTCATTTAACTTAGCTGCAACACCCATCTTGACATAGGTTAACACTATCAATATATCCCTGACATCTTGAAATATGTACCTGAAAACAAATTGGATAATTCCATAGTTCTCATGTTTGTCTGTGAAGTTTCTTTACTCTTTACATTATATTGAAGGAATGCACTTTTTAATTGTATTTTATCAACCTTGAAAAAATCAAGGGGACTATTAAATCATATCCACTGTGTTGTCTCCTTGTTGGAAATATCTGCAGCACATAGATAAGTAAAATGAGTCTGACTCAATGTGCAGAGTTTCTCTTAGCAATGCGTTTACTTAAATCATAGGAAAAAAATCACGGAAAAATCACAAACTTGTCAATTGATATTTAAGAAATTCTGCAATCAGTCCACATACTGCAGAGCAAACACTGTGAAACCTCTTCTCAATTACCATAACTGTTAACTATTTTAATGCATTCTAACTAATCCTGACATAAATGGCATTAATTTTATTAAAATTTTGAACAAACTTTGTATGACATCCTCATTAGTAAGTGAGCCCATCTTGACAACAACAAATGAATCATGTTGCCAGCAATCATTGGATTGTTCTAAATGCTGTTTAATACAGATGTGTTGCCAGAATAGATTTCTCATGAAAAAGACTACATTTACACACTGCTCAAAAGGTCTTTTCCTTACTAGAGATGTTCCGATCGATCAGCCACCGATCATAATCGGCCAATTCCCATTAAAAAGCATATGATCGGCCGATACTGATCAATGACTTTCAGCACCGATCACAAAAAACGATCACCTTTGCAGCCTGCAGAGGTCTGGTGGTATATATATATATATATATATATATATATATATATCTATATAAATAGTGTAATTAATGTCTGTACTGTGCCTGCAAGTTTTTAAAAATGTTTTTTGTCTTGGTAAAGTAAATAAAAACATGTTTTTGTCCAAATTAAGGTGATTTTATGGTTCCTATTTTCCATATCATGTAGCAAGTAGCACTCATCTTAACAAAATCTAAAAATTTACACCCACTCCATGTGATCGATATCAGTGATCAGCAGATAAAAATCTAATCGGAGCATCCCTAATCTTGACATATTGTATTTTTTTCTGGGTGTGTGTTGTACAGCTGTACTGTTTAATGTTGTGGTATAGTTTGGGAACTGGGGCCATGGCTCCAGTTCTTTCATCAGTTCCTCAAATATCTCTCCTAACACCGAGACAGATTGGCTGCAAACTGCATTTTAATCTCGATATCTGTGACTACATTTGTATAAACTTCTGACAAACGTGTGGCTAATGCTGGCTGTCAAAATGTTAGCAATAGCAAAGTCATTGTGTCCACGTTAAAACGGTGTGAGTACAAAGCTGAAAGAAAAAAATAAAACATGAATTTTCTCCCCTTTAGGACATTTTATTTGTTAGTGTTTAGTTTTTTTTTTTTACCTTGCTTCATTAAAAAGGTGACTCATGTCTCAATTGTGTTTTGTAAATCCACAGTGGCACCAGCCATGAACCTGAATGTACGAGGGGTAACGGATCAAACCATTGACTTGGAGTGGGAAGGGTCCGTCATGGTCACCGATTTTTTAGTGACCTACACACCAAGCAGTCCTGGTGGTAAGTATGAATCTGAGCTGAACTTTCAAGACAAGCAGCATCATTTTTTATTGTTTCGTTGTGTCCGAAAAGACAAAAAGTGCATCCTCGTATCAGATTTTGTAACCAATTTCTTATCGCTCTGTCAGGTGTGCAGCTAGAGATAAGGCTTCCAGGCAATACAACCTCATGGACAATCTCAGGGCTGGAAGCAGGCATGGAGTACAACGTCAATGTGTTTGCTGTCATCAACAACACAATCAGCGTTCCTGCCAGTATTACTGTTTGGACCTGTAAGTGTCGTTACCTGTTTGTTTGCTGTATAGCTTCACTTGACGTTACACAATCATGTTAAGTTCAGGACTTAATATAACATCTGTTTATTCATCTTTAATTCACAAAGCAGTTATAAAAAAAAACTACAAAAAAACTTTTAAAGATGTAATCTGAAGTTATAGAAAAGCATAACCTGCTTTTCTGTGCAGTTTAGCAGTGATGTTAAACCTGTAACAACTGCTTAGTGTCACCCACTCACACACACTGGCAGGTGTTAATAACAAGCTGTTGGACCTGACAGGGAAACACGCCAGTTGTTTTCATGCCTACCAAATGTGCAGACTTATCAAACCTCTCAGTAAGTAAGAGCCTATTCATTATTTCAGCCGATGTGTAGCGGCACAAACACATTTCCATTAGTGCCACCGTGGATGGTAAAATCAGCTTCCATTTCACAGATAAGTGAATTTCATTTCAGAGATGGTAGATTTTCGAGTAACAAAGTAAATTCAGGGCAATTAAACTTGATGGAACCATTTTTCAGTGAGGATATGATATATAGGGTTGTCTTTGTGAAATGCAATTATACAATGGAGAATTTGATTGTCTTTAAAGATGTTTAGGAACGTGACAAAGTGATTTTGCTAAATCAATTTAGGCCTGTGAGTTATGGTTATTTAGTTTTATCAAGCAAATTATTATTGTTTTTTTTACAGTCATCAATACTACTATTAAAATAAGTTTGGTTTCCATTGCAATATGTGACATTCTGTATATCACATTTTAAATCTGCCTTTATTTACTGTATTTTTTTTTTTTTGAATTCCACCCTATAATGCAGCAGCAAACTCATTAAACCTGAACAGTATTCAGGGGCTGTGTTGGTGTGTTTATCCTGGATTTCATGGAAATGCAGAATAAACAAGATTTTTTTTTAATTCTGCAGTAATTAAAATAGTAAATCATCAGTTCTGTTTTATTACGTAGACAAAAGTAAACAGGGGTGGACAATAATGTTTTGTAAAATCTCAAGATTTCTAGACAATTTCTCGACAAGATTCCAAAAATAATCTTGTTAGTGGAGCATCATTCATATTCATAAAATATGGAAATCAAAGGTAAACATTGCAGAACAGATAAAACACTGTGGAAGAGAAATGTTTTTAGATGAAGCTGTGATTTATGGGCTGTGTGAGTCACTGAAGAACAACAACATGTGTCTGGCAACATTTTCAGATCTCTCCAATCCAGATGGTTTAGTCTTCAAATCTATCACAGAGACGTCAGTGGAGGTCCAGTGGAAACCCTTCTACTATTCCTTTGATGGATGGGAGATCAGCTTCATCCCCAAGGTAGAGCCAAGCTGAGGGACCACTCATGGGTGTCGGGCTACTGCTTTTTATTCTGCTGCACATATGCAAGTACATCAGGAACACATGTATTTTAGGGTTACCTCACCTTTGTTTCTAAGACTAATTTATATCCAGTAAATACAAACATCTGTACCATAATTTCCAGACTATTGAGTGCACCTGAATATAATCAGTGCCCACGAAATTTATAAAGAAAAAAGTAGATATATTGACCGCACTTGTCTATACACTAAGCTGCGGGTGTCCATGTTGTAGCAAGAGATATTTACACAGAAAGATTTTGTAAATGTTTAATTAAATATGTACCGGTAACATACACAGATACGTACAGTAAACGCATTTTTTCCGAACAGTGCCTGTAACTCAGCTGGTTAAATAAATAAATACAGTAGCCTACCAAGAAGTCATTGAGCGCTATCTTCATCTTCCTCATGCACTCTGCACCCTTGAACTTGTGCTGTCCTCTTCATCATGCATCAGCCTTTCGAAAACAGTTGATGATAGACTTTTTTTTTTTTTACACTGCTCCTCTGTCAGGATCCACTGGCAGACGAGAAAAAGTTGTTATTCGCATGTGGACAGTTTTGGTAAACGATTTCTTGCCACTAGTCGTCCAAGCCTCGCACCGATTTCAGAGCGCCACATTAATGCACGATTCACAGTTATTTACAGTGGCTGAAAATGCTTCATTGTTTGCCCATCGGAGGCACAACAGAGAAGGGAAGAGAGAATGGGGGGCGGGGGGGGGGGGGTGAGGTTACGAGGACCCACCCCCCAAGAGAGAAGTGTACTGGGCAGCTATGTGAGCGTCCAAAATGTGACGAGGCTAAATGTTTAGGCAGCATGAAGCTCGTTAGCCCATCAAAAAATAATTTTAAAATGAAATAAAAAATCCATAAGTTAGCCACAGCATTGTATAAGTCACAGTGTTCAAAGCATGAGAAAAAAGTAGTGGCCTATAGTCTGGAAATTATGGTAATCAAATGGTGTTCATGGTGTTTAAATAATTTTACTCAAGTTTGAACCAATATTTTAATCATTCTTGTTTTGTTTTGCTCCAAACTAACACCAAACTCTTACGACCAGTATCATTAATGCAACATTAAATTACATCGTTAGGCATGGCTGCATAAACAAAGGCTCTGTACACATTTAAAATGTTTCTGTTGAATAATTTGGGAGTTATAATGGTTAAAAATTGCAATAATCATGTTCATTCACAATTACTGGTAATAACTTGTACAAGAATATTAAAAAGTTTGAATCCTCCTAGAAACATGCAATAATGTCACAATACCTAAGATGGTTTTATTTAAAACAAATTCAATATTAAGCATGTATAGTTACTTATATTAATCAGTTTTCATTATTATAATTTTCTTTTTTTAATTCACCTTTTTTTCAGCTGATTTATCAGTAAAACAATGACATGTTGCTGCATTTTTCTTTTGACTTGGTATTTTAAAACTACAAGGAATCTAAACAATTGCATGAAGGCAACTTTCAAAAACAAATCTTCAAAGTTGGATTTTCTTTCTTGCATTTTGAAACAAATCAAAACACAATAGAAATCCTCACCAAAACTATTATTTGAGTTTTATTGGCTATGAATTGACATTGTTGGCGAAATATGGAAAAATGCCAAACATGACATGAACTGTCAAATTTTCTTAACCTATATATATAACTGTTTTTCTTTTGTACACATCTTTTTTGTGCTTTAGGCTGTAAAAGATTAAACACAAGACCTTTGTCTATCAGTGTTAAAAACAAAACACATAGTTTAATGTCTTCTTGGTGTTTTGAGTTATAATTAATTAAAATAACAATTCTGACTATCATTTTCTAGTCTCTGTTTGCATCTAAACAGGACAGATATGCATTTGATTGATGATTTATGATTTCTTGGAGGTTGGCTCAACTGAAACCAAGATCAGATTTTTGAAAAAGTGGATTGTCTCAAGCTTTTTGCTATTAGATGGATAAGCTGTTAACCTTTAACCATATCAAGGTCAGACTTAAAGCCATAAAGTGAAACCTTTCTCTTTCTAAAACCTGTTGTACCGTTCAAACTCCAATCTCCCTTCTCAAAGTAATTGGTTTTCTCCTTTAAGGTGTTTTCAAGAAGCATATCTGATGGTCTGATGGGGCACTGTGATCCAAATTTGATGTTGGGTTGCTTTGTGTGTTTATTTTAATCATTTATGAATGCTTGTTTGTTTTACAGTATATGATGAAAAAAAAGAAAAGTCTGCTTAATTTTATCAGCTTAACCCCTCATTTTTTTTCCTTTTTCCAAGTCCCGACACTTTGCCACTGACACTCTCCTTCATCTTGAACCTTTCCTAATCTCTTGATTAAACTTTCTGAACCATCTCTTGCTTGATATCTGTGACTCGTTCCTCTCTGACTACTCTCCATCCTTTTCATTTTCCTGTAAATGCACTCGCCTCAATCTTCTCTCACGTTCTCCCACTCTCTCTGACCACGGGGGAAATCATATTAGGACTTGGCAGCAACACCCCCCGTGGATTTAAATCAGCAGTAGGGATTGTGAATTTTGACAATCTCCTAATGGAAGGAGGCATTTAAGCCCTTTTGTGAACAAATGCAAAATTTACTAAAGAGGAAATCGTGCTCATGGAGAGAGAGGGGATGTTCAAGAGTCCTCGTTAATGTTTTTAGAAGCAGAAACCGCAAATTGTATGCATATCATACAAGAAGCGCAGATCTTTTATGGGACTTTTTTTTTTTTTCATTTAGCCTTTATTTATACAGGTTAGTCTCATTGAGCCACGAGAACTCATTTTCAAGAGAGACCTGTTTAGGGAGCACATGGTGGGGGTTAAGGGCCTTGCTCATGGGCCCAGAGTGGGGCGAATGAGGGTGGGGGCAAGTGTGACATATGAACACCATGTATAGTTAGGAACAGTCACAGCATTTTCAGTATTAATATCAAGTTTATGATTTTCCTCACGAAAAATATAATACTTTAATTTCCATTTGTACAACGGAGCTTCAGGACCACACATTGCCACGCTAAGAAAAAATAAATAAAAGCCATAAAATTACGAGAATAAAGTTGTAGAATTACAAGAATAAAGTTGTACGAGTCTTTTTTTTTCCGAGTCAGATCCACAACGCAACCTGTCAATCAATCCAGTAGGCGTGTCAGCAAATTACCAATCTGAAGCTAAATGCTCCTATAAGTGAGTCGCTAGGTCTCTTCAGCCTCTTTCTGACATAATTATTGAAGACCTGTAGCGCTGCACGCACACGGTCTCGCTTACCGAGCGCCATTTTCAAACGGAAACAAAAAACGAAAGTCATGACGTAATGACGTTACGTATGCATCCCAGAAGCAGCATACAAAAACACAACAGTAGGTGGCAGTATTGAACACGTTTTGAGTATTAGCATCAATGACAATAAAGTTTAACAAACATTCTTCATTTTACCACAGTTAAAATGTGGTAAACTCTGCTTTATCGTGTCGGAGTTCGGATAATATTACGACTCATTTAGTTTTGGATTGGTCATTTGCTGACACGCCTACTGGATTGACAGGTCGCGTCATGACTCCGACTAGTGGGAAAAAAATAATGACAACTGTAAAAAAAAAAAAAAAGATGTCTTGTCTTGTGTGACTGTATTCTCGTAATATTAGAACTTTATTCTACTTTATTCTCATAATTTTATGGCTTTTAATTTTGTTTTTTTTCTTAGCGTGGATCTAAAGCTCCGTCGTACATTTGACTGTTTTTATTCCTCCCAAATTAAATTTTCTTAGAATAGAAGGATAACTTTGGCTTCCCGCTGGTTTACCTGAAGCATTTAGTCAGCACTCAAAGTTCGAAACGCTCTATGAGAAAGTGCAAATTTACTTTTTTTTTTTTAAATTTTAAATAAGTTATGCCTCTTCAAATTGTAAATTTAGACCACAATTACACCGTTGTGGATGTTGGTATTATTTTTCTGTGGGTTCTACCTCCAACCTTGAAGTCTTTTTGAAGCCTTTTACTAAACGACAATAATGGAGGTGAATGTTCTATGATTTCTTCTATGAGATGTGACATTTAAAAGTAGTCAGATCATCCACCAAGTCCAATAACCTCTCTTACAATAACAAAGTAAAAATAATAAATAAATTGGTTACTTTTCTTACCTCTTCACTTTGAATTCCAGATTGTTGCATGAACTTGCTCTCCAGCAAAAAGACAAACCAGCTGCACTGCAGCAGAAAAGATGGTCGATGTTACTCTGAGTAATTCAGACTAAACTGTCAGCTGTTTGCTGTATGAAACACCTCTTCTAAATGAAAACTGTAACATCTCAGCATGAAGAAGAGCTATTATGAGCACTTTAAAAGCTTAAAAAGGTTTTTACAATTTTTTTTTTCAACAGAGGAATAGCCATTTCATATCTATCATAAAAATCACCTCTAAATTTAGATAATTCTCTAGCAAATGTCTACCACATAATTTGTAATAAGTGTATGAAATTAGTAGAGTGAGGTTTTGTTGCCAACTTAAACAAGATGTTTGTTTGCATTCAAACATCGAGGAGTACATGTCAAACATTTTCTAAACTGTGGGCGACAGTTATTGAGTAGGTAAAATATTCCCAGATTAACAGAGTTGGGGAGAGACCGATGAAATTAGAGAAACCAGGTCCAAAACAGAGAAAGTTCTTCTCTTATTTTCTGAAAGGAAACAGCAACTAAAAACTGTAAGGATGAGAGTCGACAGAAGGAAAGTAAATTCAAGAAAGAAATGCATTGGAAAGTGTTGAAGCAAAAAATGAGGACAAGATATGCAAATCAGCTGTGCAAAGTTATTCCAAACTGCTGGTCATCAAATTTAGTTGTAAACAAATATTTGCAGTTTTCTAAATCAAGTTTTTATAGCAACTTTGGTGCATTTGAGTTAATTAACAACCATCTTATAATGTGGAAAATGTTTCAGAAACCTAAAAAAAATAAAAATTAAAAATAAAACCCATATTTTGACAGTTATTATGGCTTTAACCTCCTATTAGGGATTATTATGTTGGCTGTAGCTGCCAGCTTCTCTGTCACAACATAATAGAGGTTATTTTGATTGTAATTGGACTGACCAATGAGAACAATGAAGGTGAGGCTTCAAGAAACTTGGTGTAGATCTGAGAGGCAGATTATTTTCTCTGTAAATCTCACAACATCCAATTTCAGACAATTTAAGATTCCAAGATAATCTGTCCAAGTAAATGATTGGAAAAACCAACACGAAGGGCTGTCATGAAGAAGAATCTTTCAATCATCATTGTCAAATACAGGGTTAGATTATGAGGAAACAGATGGGCAGGATTGCCGGCAAATTTACCCCTTTTATTAAATCATTGTTTTAAAGGTTAAAAAAGGAAACAATGGAAAAGGTAAATAGTTTATGCCTGCTACAAAGACAAAATAGAACATAAAAAAATAACTTTTATTGTGACAGTTTTTACCCCTAATTTGAACAAAGTTGGATGCTTATGAACAAGCTTCAGATGCATAATTTTGCTAACAAACTGCACCTAATTACAAACCTGCAATGAAGATCTTGCAGTGTAGAAAATGAAGTGCAAACACTTCACACTGAAATCAACATTCTCAGCACTGAGAATGCTGGTTGTTGTTGTTTATTTTGTCTATGGATTTTGGCTATTAGTCAAGGGTTTGTGTCTTTTTCAAGTTCAAGTTCAAGTTATGTTTATTTGTCATATGCAGGTTAACACAAGGTCAGGAAGAGAAGAACCGATTTGACTCGCTAAAAACAAAGAACAAGCAAACACGAAAATACTAAAGCATGCAATAAGGGTACAAAATAAAGTTCCAAAAAGTGAAAAAGTAAATACAATATTTGCAAGGCCCAATAGAAAAAATAGTATATAACAACATGGTAGAATATAACGATGCAAGTAGGATGAATTAGTATGAATAAGTATTTCAAGGTCGTAATTTTAGCTAAAATGCACATGATATATATTTCACATAACTAACATAGTATACTACACAGGTTGTGTGACAGGATATTGCACAGGTAGTAACACAGATTGAATTATGATGGTAAGGTAGTGACATACATGATATAGTATTTATAGTATAGTATATTTTTATTATAGAGATTGATTAGAATTTATTGACTCCCCAGCTGTGTAATTGAGTCGAGGTGATTAAATTAAAGCTCCAATTCAAAATTTATTCATAGAAAGTAACAAGCTGTTGTGCGTTTTGAATTGATAAAAACCATCAAAGTGCAGCTGGTTTGGGTTTCCAAACCTGCAGTGGTTAAAAACATCTGTCTGTCAGCAGGAAGTGCATTTGCAACTCTGGCTTTTTGAAAACAGCTGGTTATAGCTGGGGCTGTGTCTTGATGAGTGACAGATCTTTGGAAATGCAAAGTGCTGCCTCTGCAGAACACGGCCTTGGAAATATCACTGTTGCTCACTCATTTCTGCAAGGTAACATGGTTTGGGAATTCATTGTGTAAAATCATTTTAAGTTTTCAGTTCACCATTGGCAAATAACAGGCTCTAGCATATGAAAGCTTTCAGAAAATTCACTGCATAACGCAACATTCCTTCCTTTAAGAATTCTTTTTTTTTTCAAGTTATGTTACCTATAGTATGTAGTTTTATTTGCTGATATAAACCCAAATAATAAACGGAGTAGATGTTTCAGAGTTTTTCTTTTTTGTCACATTACATCTGTCTCTGTTTATTCAAAGGACAACGATGGAGGAATGACTGCTCAGCTACCCAGCACTATCACAACGTTTGTACAAACTGGTTTGAGGCCAGGAGAGGAGTACACCATCAACCTGGTGGCGCTCAGAGACCAGGGTCGAAGTCAGCCGGTCACAGCCACATTCACAACACGTACGTATGTTTAAATAGGAGCTCAAGACTAACTGCATCACTTTCACAGATTCATTTGTGAAAGTAATTATTGGAGGGTGCTATAATTTGCTTACTGTGATTCTGTGCAGAAGCAGATTGCAAACACTCATTCAGTGGTTAATGGTAACAAACAAAACAAATAATTGAAACCTCACAGATGATTTTAAAAAATTGACTGCATCAAACATAGAATTATGCCATTGAATGGAAATACAGCAAAAATATTATTATATTTTTCTGCAATTTTATACTTTCATGTCATGCTTATCATGGTCACAGGAAAATATACTGTAGCCCTTTTAATAATCAGATATAATAGAGATTGTCATTTGTTTAAGAGTCAAAATGTTTCGGATCAGACAAAAAAAGGGTCTGACTTTCATCAATTTCTGATAATTATGATCAGCATTTATTGTATTCTTTTAGCTTTAAATGTGCTAAAAAAGTTTCTAATAATGTTTTTTTTTACTGTGTAGTTCATTTCATTTTTTTCTTTGATCTTGTGAATCAGTGTACAGTCGTCCCTGGCTTCTTCACAGTTTGATTTTTGTGGACTCGCTCTATTGCGGCTTTTCAAAATAAGATTGGACATGACACGCAATTGGCTGATTGATGAGCCGCACAATCAGCATGGATTTTTATTTTTTATTTTTATTAATTATTTTAACTTATTTGGCACCTGCACCCTACAGCTGTGGGAGAAGCTTCCTCCTGCAGCTGATCAGCTGATCTCTGTTCTGCATGTGCAGAGCGGAGAAGTGGGTGTGGCCAATAGTGCAGCCAAAATCATGATATTCTGTGCTTTTTTAGATATTCTGTGCTCTTTTAGAGCATTTAGAGTTTAGAAACTTTGTTTAGAATATTGCAAGAGTGTGGGAAAGGTTTAAAACATCTATCTATTTATCTATCCATACATCTATCTATCTATACATCTATCTATCTATACATCTATCTATCTGTCTGTCTGTCTGTCTATCTAACAATCTATCTATCTATTTATAACAAAATAAACTATTACTTACTACTTGTTCTACTGTTCCTAATTTTTGGTGGTTTTTCATTTATTGCGGATCCCCCACGATGACTAAGGGATTACTGTACATAAAAATGCAAAATCAAAATGGTATAGTCGTAATAATTAAGAATATAATAATGCAATAATTGTAATTATTGCAATGCACAGTAATTTAACAAATATCATGGTGGCAGGAGTTATTGGACCCAGGAGCACAGAAGTGACACGTGGAGCTCCAGTAATAAAAAGAACAAACAAAAATAAAAACTTGTTTTATTTTAACTTAAAAACAAAAAATGATGTGGCAGCCAAAACTTACTGGACTGAGGTGGAATTGGAAATAGACAGAAAAACACCCACATGGCATGCAGACATGCATCATGGTCCACAGATGGAGGAAGAGAGACGGGATATTAGCAGACCTAGACTGGTTAACCTAATTAAAGAAACCCGAGTGAAAACAAACGGCAAAAGGTGAGAGCAGGCGGAGGAGGAGCAGAATTGACAGATGTGGCACTAAGAAAATACACAAACTAATCAGGTAAAAACCCTGCTGGTGACCGAACTAAACATCAATACAACAAGACAGAGAAAACAAAACATATTAACGACAAGGGAATACAAAATACAAATAACAAAAACTCATAAAAGGAACAAGTAATCAAAAAACAGAGTTTATAACAACATTAATGTCTGAAGGAAAGCACCAAAGGCAATTTCATCATTGGTGTTAAAAGACGCGGTTTGTTTCATTTCCACTTAATGGTAGATACATGAGGTGTAAACACGAAGCAGTAATTTGAACAATTAACACGTCTGCAGGTTACTTTTGCTCCAGCTGCATAACAGCTTCACAGAACACTAACTTTAGTGGTTGATGCTGCTGCCCAGCTCATTGATGCTAATATCATTAGCTGTAGACATACTCATTTGAACCTATTAGTTTTGCCTAGCAGCGACTGGTGCAGCATCTCATTGTTTTCTTACAACCATCCTCCAGCTCAGGAGTTTACTTTTCACCACTCAGGGCTCAGGAGGCAGTTTATTGGTTAGAGAGTATCTCTTGAGGACATAGCTGTCCATTAGTGACCAGATAAAGTTGGATAACATTTTATCTAATGTAAAAGAAAGTTTTGTATATGCGTAAATTTTATTTATGGATGATGAGTAGATGTTATCATTTGGCAGACATTGGCTTGAAAAGTAAGTATGCCATATGTGAAAATCTCATCTTAGTTCTCACATCTTGCTGAACTTAATGACATTATTTTTTACCACTCTGCTGCGAGTCACGTTCCATCATCTGAGTCGGGCCTGATCCGGTCTTGTGAGCGAGCACTTTGATTGGCAAAGGCATCTGTCATTAACTCTTTCTAAACAGAACTAGAACCGATTCCTCTATGAAACTGTGCATAATAATTTATTAATTCACCAGCCAAATGAAATGAGCTTTATTTAGCCCCAGGGCCCAGTTAAAAATGTACTGATAGACACTAATGTTGTGCAAGCACGGCTCGCTCATATGGTGATGGAAAGACATTAACGCTTTATTTTAAAACAGTTATGTGTATGTATTGCATCCTTCTTTACTATTGGTAGCGGTACAACTTAGATATCTATGCTAATGCTAATATTGTAGATGAATAGTGCAGCTGTGTTCTTTGCAATGTTAGGAAATCTATTGAGCAAGTTCAAAGGAATTTTTTTTAACCAGAGTTTTGTCAAACCATTTCCAAAACCAAGGCATTCACTGTAAAGTAATTGCAACAGAGAGAAAAGATATATTTTTTTAAATCAATATATTTAAAATAACTAAACATTTTTTTAAAACGTTAACTGGTTTTGGGTATTATTTTTCTCTTTAATCAGTCAGTAATTCAGATAATCTAATCCACACAAAATGTAGCCAATTTAAAGACATGTCACTTACTCTGTAAAACAGGCAGCTTGCAGTGTTTGTTTTGCCGCATTTAAATATCCGGTGAAAATTTAAATTAGATATTTGCCCCACTCTTCATCCAGCTAACAACAGTGAGACAGGTGTAATAGATCCAATTCAAATCTCGTCCATAACAATTCAGACTCTGACGTCTGCAGTCAAAACACAATAAATTTCTTGTCAAGTCTTTCTCGTTTTTTGGGGGATTGTAATTAGGAACTGATTAATAATTCATTTCAGACTCTCATTAATTTTTTATAGTGGCCCACTGCATGACACCTTATTGGAAAAAGAAAGAGGAAAAGACAAATTTGAAGTTGCTAAAATATTTATAACAAAGATTTATCCTTCTTTGGAGGTGGAGGGAGCACCCTGAGGAGTCGGGAAGAAAACCCGGCGAGAGAGCACAGCTGATGTGGGAGCTGGTTCTCAGCAATTGCCTTCTCCAGGATGTTTTCTAGGACAAGACCCAGGGGGGCAATTTCTAATACATCAAGCATCAGGATGGACCTGCAAAATGTCAAGAATGAGTCCGAAGACTATTTAGATCCCAAAAGCTCTGTGGCTGTAAATAAGAATAAGAGCACCACTCCTAAATCACTCAGACTGTGAGATTTGTCTCTGATGAGTCAGTTCTGGAGCCAGAAATAGTGAATAATTGTGCTATCCAAGCATCGTGTGGCGCTTCTCAGTTTAAAACGTGTGTACTGAGCTGTCTGCTGTGGAGTGCAATATTAGTAGCTCCCACGGGGTTATATTATGTTCCACAATATTATCGTGCACGGTTTAAACAGCAGTTTCACCCATTGTAAGAATGTAAACTCTGCATTAGTCTCATTTTAATCCCATACTGAGTTTCATTTAACAGAAATTAAATCAATCAAGAAATGAGATAATTAGAGTTCAAACACCTTTGTTTTTCTTGTGAACTGTTAAAAACATCTGATACAAAATGTAGCATTATCAGACTAATAATACAAAGAGCTGATTAACATAGTTGCTAATATGCCATTACTGTGATTGAAATGTTGTCTTGCCTGTGTTGGCACTCTAACAAGACATTCCTGAGAAATAATGTGTAAATCCCACATCTGTTAAACAGCAGTGTTTCTCTCAGAATACCTTTTGTGTATTTAGCTCTTTACACCTAGTAAGTGTTGTTTCTTAACAAGCCATGTAGAAGCCTGAATTTACACCTTTCACAGATAAGGTTTATTGTCTCAGCATCTGTCAGATTTAATAAAGGTAACATGAATGACAGTCAGTCTCTGCATCTGTCACTGTGAACCCCCGAGGCTTTCAAAGTTAAAACAGGCATTAAAGATAGTTGTTTTATAAAAAGAGTAACTAAACTAGTTCAAACCACATTGTTGCATCAAACACCATTACACCACACTTATTTCTACTCTACTTGTGTTTGAGTTTCTTTTTTTTTCTCAATGTTTTGCTGATTTCACATTCTTGAGATTAGTCAAATTAAACTAGTAAAGGAGAACATCCTTAACGTACGAATGGTACATTATTTATGCATAACTAAAACTTTTCAGACTCAACACGGCATTGGTCATTCTTCCTTTTCTTTTTTTATGGTTGCTCCCTTGATGGACCAAGATGGGGCAGGGGTAGGGGAGCCAACTCAGGACTTGAAAGTCCCAGGTTTGATCCCCAGCCATTCCCACATGTTGTGGTGTCTCTGAGCAAGACACCCAATCCCTAATTGCTCCCCGGGCAGCTTGCATATCTACCCACTGTGTGTATCCCAGGTGCGATGGGTTAAGAACCAATTTCACCATTGTATGTTCCCATACAATGATAATAATAATAATAATAATAATAATAATAATAATAATAATAATAATAATAATAATACATTTTATTTAATGATGACAATGCATAACACTTTGTTTATTTATTTATGGGGTGCCACAGCAGATTATTTCCCTCCATCTCACCCTATTCTAGCATCTTCCTCTGTCACACCAATCCTCTACATATCCTCGTATTTATCCATGAACCTTCTCTGTGATCTTCTTTTCCTTTTTCCTTGCAGCTCAGTGTTCAACATTATTTGTCCAACATATCAACTATCCTTCTTCTGCACTTGTCTAAACCATCCATCCATTATCTTTTACCCACTTCTTCCTTTTCGGGATGCTGGGGGTCATCGGTGCCCATGTCCAGTTATCACTGTGGGAGAGACCAGGGACACCCTGGACAGGTCTCCAGTCCATCACAAGGACATAGAGACAAACGAGACAAACAACCATTCACTCTCTCACTCTCATCTAGAGACAATTTAGAGTTAGCAATCAGTCTAACACGCATGATTTTGGTCTGTGGGAGGAAACCAGAGTACCTGGAGAAAATGCATGCATGCACAGAGAGATCATGCAAACTCCACTCAGAAAGGCCACGGGCCGGGATTTAAACCGGCAACCTTCTCGCTTGTACCAACTGAGCCACCTTGTCTAAACTGTCCAAGACTTTCCTTTCTAACTTTGTCATCTCTGAATTGGAACAGACAAGTATTGGGATCAAATCAAATTGTTTATAACATACAACTGGACTGATTTACAAAAGTAACATGTTGCTCTTCAGACAATTCTTTAGAAATTTAGGTTTCAACTTGTCTCAAACATATTTAAAAGAAGTCTAAACTTACACTGTGTAGACTTATAACTGCTATGACTATTTCTTCCTATACAAATTTATTGTAAAAAATGTTGTTTTGGTACCAAACAAATAACAGACACAATATATATATATATATATATATATATATATATATATATATATATAATTAATGTCAAATAAGGCTGAGTCTTGGTCAATAAACTAGAGTTGCAGTACACGGCAGGGCTAGCAGAGAGAAAGCGGAAACAACAAATGGCTTGTTCCTTTCTGTTTTGCAGTGATTGATGGTCCCACACAGCTGATTGTGCGAGACGTCTCAGACACAGTAGCTTTTGTGGAATGGATGCCGCCAAAAGCAAAGATTGATCAGATTGTATTGGGTTATGGCCTAGCCGGAGGGGACGGGCCACGGACTACCTTTCGCCTCCAGCCCACACTTACCCAGTACTCTCTTCAGGTGTGTAAAATGCATTTTGTGCAGAGGGCACAGATTTTATCATACTGTAACATAAATGGTCCTGCTTGCAATCAACAGATGGTTGGAAAAATAAAATAAAATTGTTCTTGCAAGGTACATTTTATCCTTGGGTTGTGCTGATATATTTTATTTATTTATTTTTGCAATGCTCATTAAATGATCTAATCTCAGAGTTTCCCCACCGTCTGTGTCTGGAGATAAAACAAAAACAAAACAGAAGTTTAGGGGAAAACACACACAAAAGCCTAAAGAGACTGAACTGTCTGTGTTTCTCCTTTTTGAAAGGTTCTTCGTCCCGGCTCTCGGTATGAGGTGACCGTGAGCGGAGTGAGGAAGGGAAACGAGAGCGGATCCATTTCCACTGAATTTACAACCGGTGAGGTCTGACAGCAAGCAGATGTGCTGATGATTTGTGGGATCGTTTGCTTGCCTTTGAGAATACAACAGTGATGGCACTTTGTCTAATGCATGCAACGTTGTTTATTTGCACCGGAAAAAAAAAAAAAAAACACGGTTAGAAATAGCTTTTCAAGGTAACTGTTGTTTTGTTCAATGTTGTGCAGATTAGAGTAATTTATATAAATGAAAACGTACTTTTGATTTGTTTTGAGTGTATTATATGAGCATCATTTGCAGCTACATTTACAGTCAAAAATATGCATGCGAAATCTATGTATGTGTTAGTCTCTCTTTGCGTTTGTAAATGAAGTAAAAGCTGCACAAAGTGGTGACAAATGCAACTGAAAAATCTAAAGTGGCAGCCAATTGTCTCATATAAACACTGAATTATAGTAAATGGCGGTTCACATCGATTTGTGTCTATTTCTGATGCTTTTAAATAGCTGATTTTTTTTCTTGCTCATGATTCCTGAGATTCGGTTTCTGTGTTCCCAACATTGTCAGCTTTATCGTTCTTCTCAGAGATCGATGCTCCCAAGAACTTACGGCTTGTGTCCAAGACCTCCACTACCCTCGAGCTTGAATGGGATAACAGTGAAGCTGAGGTAAAGAGACATGGAAGAGGTTGAATTTATTTATCCCAGTTTGCTTTCTGACAGTTTGAGAGACTGAGTGAGATATTCGTCTTGGGACAAGTGAGTTTAGCCCCATTTAGCTTCTGTTTTGTGTTCTCTGATTGTTTTAAGAGTTAAGTTCAAGTTCAAGTTGTGTTTTTTTGTCGTGTGCAGATTAACACAAGGTAAACAGTACAATGAAATATTCAGGATGAGAAGAACTGATTTGACTCGCTGGAAACAAAGAACAAACAAACAAGAAATACATTCATATATAGGGTACAATAAGGCATTCAATAAGGGTACAAAATAAAGTACCAAAAGGTGAAAAAGAAATAAATATATATTTACAAGGTCCAAAAGCAAAGTAGTAAACAACAACATGGTAGAATATAACATTGCAAGTAGGATGGATTTGTATAAATATATATTTCACAGGTAGTAATATAAGCTTAAATACACATTATATATGTTGCAGTTAGACAAAAGAGAAAGACTTAGACCTAATATTAAGATTGTTTTATCATCCAATATTAATCTATTTGGAGTTGAGGAAACATGTATTATACCTAATAAGGTTTTCGTTCAATAAACTCTCTCAGCACAAAACTAAATAAATGAACAAGTAAAAATTAAACGCCTCTAAGTCCACAAAAAAAATGGTTATATCATGTCATCTGGGCCTGTTTCTTAAGTGAAGAAACATTCCGTCCCCCATCCGGAGGACTTCGTCAGTCTGCGCCCTGTCAACCAGATCTGTCCCATAGGTAGCCTTCACTGCTATGTTTCAAGCCAATCTCCTGTTGAAATCTCAGAAGTAGGCTTATTAACACGTGCAAACAGAGCACACCCATACGAAACCATCAATAATTTTTTTAACAGCAGTCAAGTGTTTTAGGCGAGGTGGCCAACTTGTTACTCACAGAAACAGCCTGTGGACATCCAAGGCCAAAGTGATTCAGAAAAAAGTTTTGTAAGCTCAATCATTCAGGTAGATAACATCAACAATGTTTAACTCATGTCATCTGGACCTGTTTCTGTTAATGATGGTTGATGGTTTCAGATGGGTGTGCTCTGTTTGTATGTGTTTAAAGCATGCTTCTGGGAGTCCAACAGAAGGTTGGCTTGAAACACAGCAAAGAAGGTTGCCTATGGGACAGATCTGATTGACAGGCCACAGAAACACGACCAGATTACATGATTTTACCATTTTTGTTGTTATCTACCTGGATGATTGAGCTTACAAAACGTTTTTTTCTGTAAGTCCACAGTTTGGGTGATTGCATTCAAGCACATGCCTATTTATTACTTCAAAACATTATCGGAGCTACACTGAAGATAGAAACAGAAGAATAACAGTGTGTGGGCTCAAGAGACGCAGGGATTAGACTGGGTATAAACATGCATCGTCCTTCCAAACAGTGGAATAAGGCTCTTTGACACAAAAGGTCACTCCCCATCATTGACAAGGAAATTATTTGGATTTTTAAAAATCCAATAAATTAATTTTTTAATGAATGAGATTGTCAGTAGTTGGGTGGGCCGCCCATTCATATATGGTGACCAATTCTTCTACTTTGTATTAATGTTGCTTTTTTATTTAAACTAGTTAACACCTTTAAAACCTGTGAAACCTTGTGCAGTGTAATGAGCTTCTATGTGTCTCTCTCACTCACTCACTCGTACAAACACTCACATTAAATTATCTGCTCCCATGACACAACAGCAGCTGAGTGTGAGAAAGAGGAAGGAAGTCCCATGAGGACGGTGTTATCACCTGAGTGCTGTTGTCAAAACAGACATATTTTTATGGAAACAACTTTTATAGAAATATGTCTACTCATTTGAATAAAATTACTCACTTATGTTTTAGTATTTACCCTTACTGGATTCAGTAAAAGTAGCTGACCGTCTAGAACTGATCCATTGGGTTTTGTAGGCTTTCAGTGCAACACTGATTCCCTCTGGTATCTCTAAGCATATTGTAAGTTTATTCATTTATATAAAATTATTCTGTCTGCACTTATTCCCCTATCAGTTTGAGTCCTACTGATTACTTGCAAGAAAACAGCTCCTTTTATTGTTTTCGTTTTTCCCTTCTTTAAAAATGTCTTGTCATTATTTGGCAGCTGTGCTTTTTTTTTTATATATTTTAGGAAACAACAATTTCAGCTTGTAAGCATACAGAATGGGTGCAACTAGTCACAATATTTATAAAAATACATTTAGTTTTGCTCAGTAACGTCAGTATTTGCTGGACTCAGTAGCAAACCTAACTGGTTTGTTTCCATACTTGTTAGCACAGCAAATGTATTCACTGTCACTGTGAATAAAGTCTTAACACAAAAACCTGTTCTGAGACTAAAAGAAACATATAAAGTGTGAACCAGCTAAGGACAACAACAAATATATGTCACAGTTCTTTTTTTTTTTTTTTTAACTACTGCAACCATTTCTCAGGAACTCACATTTAGACATTTTTGCATACAGTTTTTGTCTTTAAACACATTTTATTATGTCCAGTCCTATTAAAATCTAAAGCAGAAGACATTTGATTAGTGTTTTCTGCAGGTGAGATCACTTTCTTGAGACAAGCCTCCCTTTAAATTATAAAATGGAGGAGCCAGGTGTGTAACACAGTGATTTTAATACTTTAAGGCAAACCATTTTTTTACCTAATGTATTGATGCAGTTTTAGTACCTACATATTTGTCAAAAGATTTTCTGAGAATTTCAAAATAAAAATAGACCAAGAAATGTGACAATAATAATCCAAAACAGGAATCAAATTTCAACCACAATAAACAAACCTCACTTGCAAAATACACATTTTTGATCTTCACAGCTTAAACCATCTGGGCATGTAAAGGCATATTCACTATGTGAACACCACTAGCTGATGAATGCACATTTATAACAAATGTTTTCTTCAGTTTTTGCTGTTGTAAAGGTTTTTTTTATGTGCGTTTGAATGTAGGTGGAGGGATATCAGGTGGTGTACAGCACTTTAGCTGGAGATCAGTATGACAAAGTCGTTGTACCACTCAATGAGGGCGTCACCACTAAAACTACTCTCACAGGTACGCTGCTTGTTTTATTCTTGTTCTGTGCAGTTTTTCTTGAATTATTTATCATGAACATGTGTAGCGCTCTTACACTCTGCGTGTTGTTTTTCTTGATGTCTTCAGTGTTATCACAGTGCATGTATTTAACGTGAGCTGAAGAAGCTGGGCACGTTCTGTTTTACATGGCAGGATTATCTTCAGAGCTAACATTTACTTGACGGGCTACTGATTGTATCTGTGAAAAGGCTTGTTGTCCTGAGGCCATATTGAAAGACTGTCAAAAAAAAGATGGCTCAGCTGGGATTTATTTTTGTATTTTTTTTTTTACTGAAAGGCCATGGTGCTCCAAAGGGCAAGGCCTGCATGAGAATAGGAGCAAAAGGTCCTTGCGTTATTCTGTCAGGCCTCTCAAATCAATACGCTCTCCACTTTTCGTCTCCATCACTCTCGTTTTCTCTCCATCTGACCCCCTCCTTCTAATAATCTGTCATCTGGTCTTGTTGTTTTTCGTTTCTCATCTCTTCATCTTTATTTCCACTGGGCAAGAAGCTGAAACATATTCAATAGATTTTAATCTCATTCGTTATGGAGTTGCAGAGAAAAAAAAAAAACGATTTATTTGAAAATGTTCTTGTAAATCAACACTTTATAGTTCATAGGAGTGTTGTGAGTGAATGTCTCCATCTAATTGACATGCCCTGTGTGTGAGTAGGAAACTGTGAACCTGTGCTCCGTAGTTCGATGTATTGATTGGTAAATTACTTGTTCTCTATCAGATCTATTGCCGGGTACAGAGTACGGCATTGGCATCTCTGCCATGAAAGATGGCAACCAGAGCACACCAGCCACAATGAACGCAAGGACAGGTGAGTTGTTTGTACTTTTTATCACTGCATAAATCCAGCAAATGGTACCATACATAAAAACAGCATAAGGATATTAATAAAAACTTGTATGGGAAATTTAAGCATAAAGCTCCCAGCTCAGCGCATTTGTTTCAAGTAAATCAATGTTCACTCTGTGGGTCAGTACTCCTGTTCCAAAAGCTATTTTAAAAAATCAAGCAAATCTGATTTTGGCGAGACATGTGCTGTTTTTATGGAGGTGTTTGTTCTCTTTTATTACCTTGGGTCAAAATTCTCATTATAGCATTTGAAAATCTTTAATCAAGACTGCCGTTTAGCTAAAAGCTTTTTTTCTATTTCTTTGTCCTCAGTAGACTGTTTGAAAGTTTTTTTTGAAGTTATTTGGCTAAAAGGGAAAAAAAATAGACAAGTTTAAATTCAAACTCTTTGAAATGTCAGTGTGTAGAAGTGTCTCCAGTCTTTCCCATCAAGTTCTGTCGTGTTTATTTCTCATGGATTTGCATTTATTTTAGTAGCTGAAGGCATTTTTTTTCCAGAAGAAATAAATGCATCCATTTAACTCACAGATTGTTCTGCACTTTAACCATGTGCTCGTTTTGAACTTTGAAAATGCACCACATCCATCAAAGCCATTTTAAAGAATCCTTATGGATCTCCGATGTCCACATTACAGAAAGTGTGGAGTGGCTGAATGAATATTTTTATTAATTGTGTTTTGCTTTGAAGTTTTTAATGACTTCTTTTTCATCCTAAAAACCTTGGAGGGATTAGCAAATCATCTGAGGAGAAGATTAACTCAGAGTTAACTCTGAAGATTATTTGGATAATAAGGAGGTCCTTTTCTAAATATATATCTGAGAAACATAATGTTTTTAAATTAATGTTCTTTTTGTTGTTGTTGTTGTTTTTATTGTTGTTTCAGGGCATCAAACTGTGAATATGTAATGATAAAGTAGATTAAAAAATACAGAAATCTGTGTAATTTTATGTAAATAAGCACTTGGGGGACAGGATTATTTTTATATTTAACTGAGAAACAAGGTTTCTAAACCTGTTAGATCTATTTATTGTTAATCAAAAAAACTGGCATAGTTTGAAGGTCGGCCAAAATAAAATCCAACATTAATGGAACAATTTGTAGGACCGACATGGAAAAAGTCAAACCTGTCAGGAAACGTTTGGCCCTCCAGAATTTATTTTTTAAATGACAGACTGGGAGACTAATAAAGCTGTTAGAATTTGTAGGTTTTATTTGTTTGTACCATATGGGCGGTGGTAACTTGGTCCATCAGTGCCACACTTTTATAATCCTGAGGCTGTGAGTTGGAGCACAGGTTGCATCAAGGAGAGCGTCCAGTGCAAAACTTCTTATTATTATTCTTCTTTCGGCTGCTCCCCTTGTCAAGGGTCACCACAGCGAACTAAGTCGCACGAAGACTTGGCAAATAATATTATGCCGGATGCCCTTCCTGATGCAACCACAGACCAACAAGCTACCACAGCCATCTGTGTGGAGCAGAGAGCTGCTATCTAGGGCACCCAGGGGAGCAGATGGTGGGGGTTAACTAAGGACCTTGCTCAAGGGCCCAGAGTGGGGAAAATGAGGTTGGAGACAAGTG